GAAACTCTTTCATGTCTCCTTTTTCTCCCCTTGCTAACGGCAGCTGTGCGAAGGAGCGTTGCATGTGAACGGGGCATAAGAGTCTATCATTTTTCTGAATGAAGTTTTTGACGATTTAGACACGTGCCGAGCAAGCTAATAATCAACAGTGGTTAGAGGAGGGGATAAGGGAACATATGCACGACCCCAAAATATTTTTATTGTGATCACACAATGACGGACACGTTAAACGATTGGCGGACGTCATAGTGTCCGCGGGCATAGGGTTGGGAACCCCTGCCTTAATCAATTAACCTAGCTTTTCATGCAAATGGTCAGGTTTACTGTGTGCTTCATTCATATAGCGCCCACCAGCGGCCGAGCGGTAAAGACGCTGAACACTGGTAGTTCGGTCCGAGGTTCGAATCCCGCGAACGGGCTGGCTGCATGGGCGTTTTCGTGGTTTTCCCCATGTGTAACATGTGTACGAGCCAGTTTCCCTTAGAAAGTCCTCCCTCCCTTTAGGCAGATAGCCCTTGTGTGCTTTGCCATAATTAAATAATCCAATCCATTCATATAGCAATTTTAATGGCCAGCTGTATAATTAATTAAAAAATTTCTTTAATCTATGAGTAATTTATATATTCGTAGATTATGCTCATGTGTGCAATTAATTATGTTTAGTATGCATGCGCCCAGGCGGTATAGTGGCTAGTGACGCTGCCATTTATACCGATCGACCCGAGTTCGAATCGTGGAGAAGGCATGAATGTTTTTGTAAGCATTTGTTCAGAAAGGAGGCACTATAAATACATGACGAAGACTTATTGATTGGTGGCAGCCCTCAGACTGCCTCATGTGAACCTTTCTATCAAAACTGGCCTGTCTGATAATTTAGAAATGCACAGGTGCGCTTCTGCTTGCACCTGCACTTGTTTAGTATTCTCTCGATTACACAGATCTATGTATAGTATTACATATTGACAAATTCTCCATCACAATGCCCCCCTTTTTTTCTTTTTGTTTAATTCTGTGTAATTATTAAAAAAAAAGTACAAAAAAGACACTCCTCTTTCTTGCAATTTTTCATTAACATCCACCAATTTTGATGGAAATTACTATTTATTTGAAAATTAATATTTATTCATTTTTATCGTAACATTTCAAATGTAAAAATTTAGCTCATTATAATTAGCTACATATTACATAAATCGAATTATAAAAAATTAAGTTTATTGTCAGTTTTTCTTCTGCAAGCATGAACTTGTTCCCTTGTACCCAAATATCCAACAGTAGTTCAATTACCAATATTTTAATGAAACTTCAGCCAATGCTCGTCTAAAAGATTTCCCAAATTTTGAAGAAAAATTCCAAATCAGAAAGACTGCAAATTGAAATTGCGTTATCTATATATGCTATAATTTGAAAATAGTTCCATACAATTCAGATATATTGTTACCTCAAAAGTTTGCTATACATCTTTTTTATTTTTTTTATTTCTAAATGCTACCAAGACCTGTTCTTTATTCCGTTTAAGTTATTTTTGATATTCTGGCTTCAGAAAGATGTCTAACTTACAATCCGACAAACTATCTTTCATTTATGCTAAAAAAATGCATATTTTAAACAGCAGAATCTATCTTCTTCAATCAAAACTAAAAAAAACACTTTATCGCATCTTACGTGAATTTGAAGTAAATAAATTTTGATTGTCTATTAGTGCTTCAAGTGTCTTTGTAAGTATAGGCCATTTTTATCATGTAATTGCTTGTCACTTATCCCACTATTCTATTCTAACAACCAATATTATTTCATAAAATCTTACTTGGAAGTCCTATTAGTAATAACACTGCCTTTAGATCAGCCCAGAAATTCCACTAATGGTCTATATCAGTCAGTTTGAAGTCATATTCCTGTACTGTCATAAGTCTCTTTCATGTTTATTATGCAAGCTACAGGAAGAGAAGAAAATTTCTGCATGTTTAGGAAATTAAGTTTCCTCAGTTATTTAATGAATCGATGGAAAGTTACAGGTGTTTATCAAAATAATGGAACATGTGAATAAAAGTGACATTTAAGAATGCATTTTGTACAACCCTAGCTACCATTTTTATCTTTTTTATTTTTATTTATTTATTTATTTATTTTTAATATAAGAAGTATATATGACAGTAGTATGAGGTAGCTGTAGTGAAGTTGTTTACGTCTTGGATTTCCGTCAGAAGCGCAAAATGTCAGACTTCACAGATTTTTAAAGAGGCCAAATTGTAAGACCCTGACTAGGTGGAGCAATTGTGTCAGGAACATCCAAGCTATTAAGCATTTCTAGAGGTACAGTGTCTTAAAGTCATGACAGCATATACACAGTGCAAACCAGTGGATGGAAGGAGAAGCTGAATGAAACAGACCAATGGGTATTGAAGCAGATTGTAATGTCTAAAAAGGAAACAACTGCAGCCAAAGTGACTGCAGAGCTCAATAAGCATCCAGATTCTCCAGTGTCAATAATTACAGTTACAAGGCACCTTCATAAACAGAATATTTATGACAAAGCAGCAATTTTCAAATCACTTGTCACACAAGTTAATGACAAACGTCATGTACAATGGTGCCACAACCACAAAACCTGATCAATTGATAAGTGGAAGACAATTATATGGTCAAATGATTATCTTTCACACTTTTCCCACAACAAGACAGGTGCACATGTGGAAAACACCTGCACAAGCACATGATCGGGATTGTCTCCTTCCAGCTGTCGAACATGGAGGTGGAACAGTCTTGATATGGGCAGCTGTGTCCTGGTTTTCTGCTAGCTCAATCATAACCCTGTAAGGAAGGATCATTGGGAAAAAGTACACAGATGTTTTAGCTGATCAGCTCTCCATCCTATGATGCAAACTTTGTTTCCTGCAGGATATGGAATTTCCAGGATGATAATGCTCCTATTCATGCAGCGAGACTTGTTCAATCATGGTTTGATGAACATAAGGATGAAATGAAACACCTACCTTGGCCTGCAGTCCCCCAACCTCAATATAATGGAACCGTTATGGTCTGTTTTTGAGTTTTCGATCCAGAATCGATATCCTCTACCAGAACTTTCACAATATCTCCATGAAGAATGGTACAATATTCCTCTACACACTATTCAGCAGTTGTATGATTTGATTCCCAGGCGAATCCAAGCTGTATTACATGCCAAAGGCGGTCATATTAATAAAGAATTTGTTATAAATCTACACTGTTTCCATTATTTTGATAACCAGGCTGTAGTCTTCTGAATTATATATGAGCACTCTAAGTTTAGGTATCAATATTGATATTTAGTACTGCCCCTTTAGTTATTTATTGTCATATGGATGTACTCTTTGCATAATTACACAACAATAACATTGTATTATAACTAATGTTCTAAGATAAAATTTTGTCAACTGGCTTGATAAAAAAAAAAAATTGCTTAAATAACAAAGTTTTCTGCTAAAAAATGCCCTTTCACCATAAGGAAAGCAGCTTTTTTCTCAAAAAAGTTAAGAGCATTTGAACTTATCAACTTTTGAGAAAAAAGTCCCCCCCCCCAAATCACAGCAAAATGGTATTTTTTGTGGCAGAACAGTGTATTAATAGAATAAATAATGAAAACTCATTTGAATTAGTGTAATCATACAGTTTTTATTGCTTTTGAATATTTTAAATGGGTACTTTTTGAAATAATTATCAGAAGATATGATTTCAAGTTCAGTTTATTTCAATACATGGTTTAAAATAATAACAGTTATTCAAAATTTAAAATACTTCTTTTTGCTAGTATAACTTTTAAAAAATACATATAGTAAATTCTTCCTATGGACATCTATAATTCCAGAAATTTTAGTACTGAGGCTTTTTAATGTCATCAGAAATACTGGTTTACTTAAGAGGTAGTCACTAAGAGAATGTATTTGGAATAAGATATGTGCTTGAATTAAAACTATCATCCTATCTTATTCAATACTAATAATTAATTCAAAATTTGCTAACATAATATATACAATGAAATTTTTGACAACTTCTATATGGTATACAGGTGTTCATTAAAAAGCATTACTTTTACATAATTAATTATCTCTGTTATAAATAATAACAGTAAAAGAGTTGAGGAATAAAAATAAATTCTTAACAACTCATTTCATTGCAATGTAACATAATTTTAAAAATTAACAGGAAATAACACTGCATATGCAATTTTATTTTATGGCCTAAGAATTGAGTTAAACACAAACACTAATGCAATGAAAGTTTGATAATCCTGAAAGTTTATCACTTTGGTAATGCTTAATTATCAAATATACTAGATTATACCTCTTATCAAGATAATGCAACAAGAACAATTTTATAAATGCAACTTAGCCTATTGTAAGAATGCAAAGCTTACATAAAACATAGAGTATTTAATGACTGAAAGCATACCAGAAGATAAACTGCAGAATGTCCATTATTTGCTATTCTTAATCAGTTTATATTTTGGAATATTATGTTTTGCTGTGGTCTTTCCAACGTTCAAATTTACAGCTTCTTAACACACATGATTGAGAAAAATACAAAGTAGTGTTTATTACTTCTCCACTGCTTTGTGGTTATCATGGTCTACAAATCTCATAAATGTATTAATTTTTTGCAAATCTGTTTAGCAAATTTCATCTTGAGAAAGTTTGTCTATTTAATTGCTCAAAGGAACATTATGGGCTGAGTTTAGAATGATTCATCATAAAGTTATCAATATTTTAATTTTCTTCAACAAAATTTAGTTACATCACATTCCATGACGATATCCCCAAAATAAATGCCAAAGACCTTACAGTTCCTTTTGAATAACACATTCATAATCTTGTATGATAGCACTCCTATCATATATATATATATATATATATAATATAATGCTGGATTTATTGAACTTTTAATGCATTATAATATTTATTAAAATTGGTAATTGAAATATCAAATTAAAAATGATATAATTTGATTATCTTTTTCTCTTTTAGGCTACTTTATTAACAAGATTCAAAAAGGATAGTACCACCAGTTATGTTAAAGAAGTTTTATGCTCTTTCATAATTGTTCTTCTACTCATCATCCTGTGGTGGATTTTATTATAATTGAAGACTTGATCCTATTTCCTTTTCTTTTTTTGTACATGTTTTGTGAATAAAATAAGTTATTTCTTAAAAAAAAAAAAAAAAAAAAAAAAAAAAAAAAAAACTTAATGTCTTATTTAAAAATCTTATCACTCTTATTTAAAAAATTATACAAATTATTTATTTTGTGAACATTTTAGACATGGAGATAAGATCATTTATTAGAATTCCGCCTATCAGTGGCTTAATGGCTAAAGCCATGAAAAATCAATAGTTCATGCTATGTGTATGAAAATAAAGGTTATTTTTCAGCAAATGAAGAAGTGTTGTTCCATTACAAAAGGATTACAAAGCTAATTTTATTATGTGCCTGTAGTGAAAAACTGTTGGCAGATCTAACAGCATCAAATGAGTTTTCAGAAAAATTTTTTTAATTACACAGAAGAAAGAAATTTGCATCCACTGTTTTTATCAAGTGAAGTCTGTATAATTTGGTTTAACTGAACATTTTATTATTTGGCTTAAGAGTCTAGTCCTGTAACTACCAGTTAAGAGAGTACTTTCTGGTATTTCTAAAAGATGTTCTTCATACCACAGCCAGTCTTCACATCATCATTCACATGTAGATCTACAAACTTTTGTATATCTTTTAAAACTAAAGGCAGTCCAGTAAATGAAAACTAGAATTTTATATCTGCAGTATCAAATTAAATGAAATTAAAACTTAGATATGTAACTGCTGAATTTCAATGCTTATTTAAAAAAATAATAATCATACAAAAAATAGGACTATATTCAGTAAAGAAAGCTGTATTAATTTAATATTTTATGACAAGAAAAAATGCATAATGAACATTTATTCTTAATACTAATTAATAAGATTTGATATTTTTATTTGAAAAATTTTGCTTTTGTAAAAAAATGACAGAACATTACTTATATCTAAAATACCTAAGTAAATACACAAATTCTAACAAGGAATTATTTAATAACAAACTTGAAATAATGTGGAAAGTTATATATAAATATATATCCTCCCTTCATTTTTCAATATGCACAAATTTGATAAGATATCAGTTTTGATATCACTAGTCTTGTCCAAATGGCAAGATATAAATATCACAATAAAATGTGCAAGCATGAACAATATAAGAATGCCCAAGTTTTAATAATCACACTTTAATTATAAGCACATCTACAATTCTTACACACTTTACATGAATATATAATAAAACAGCAGAAATGCTAGTTTGTACAAAATGTTTAACATAACAACATGCTTAATATATTGTTAGAACTAAAAGTGGTACTTAAAAATATGGAGTGTGAAAAATATTAATACTTTAAAATTAATAAAATCTAGTTGGTAACAATATTTTGCACTAAGCAAAACATGTAAAAAAAGCTTCCATCATTCTATTTATGGCATTATTTAAAAATATGGCAGTACAACAGAGACAATTTTACTGTATATAAATACCCAGGATATTTGATTTTCCAATACATGTACTTATACAATGTACAAAAGGTATTTGTACTATGTCAGGTTTAAGTCATATGTGTAGCATTTAAAAAATGCATAATGTAAGCAGATTTATGCTCAATCCAACCTTCAAAACAGTTATCATATCAAAAATTTGATTTTTGACATACCACCTTTTTCCCAATAATTCTGATTCAGACCAAGGTTTAAAAACTTTTCATATTTTAGAATTAAAAATACATTCTTATGAAAAACTTAAGGACACTACACTGAGTATGCAATTATGCATCAGGAACATAATACATACTTAGATCTATAATTTATTTACAATAAAATTATATCTCAGCTTTCATTTAAAAGAATCACAGTTGCCAGATTTATGTCATTATTACAAGTCTGGAGGGCACGGACGACATTCTGACGATCAAATCCCATTTCAACTAAAGTTTTCACCTGCCAAAAAAAATTGCAATATATATTTAAGTCAGAAAAATTACATATCAACAATTATTTAAAAATACAACAATTATATAGCAGTAAGTTTTGAAAATAATCAAACTTTGGCAAAGGGAAAAAATAAAGATTGACCCTTTTCATCTAATATTAAGGATCTGAAACTGGTGGCCCCCTAATGGTAATCAAATCTTGGCAAAATAAATAAATAAATAAGGATTGATTCTTATCATCTAATGTAGTGTTCTAAACTGGTAGCCGCTGAAGCAATTTTACATGGCATTTCACATTATTTTTATTACCATTGGAAATGAATGTGAGTAATGCCCCAGAAAACCTAAAAATAGAACTAATTAATTTACACTGTTATATAAATCTTATTCAAAGATTTAAAGACAGAGATTTGAATGACTCCCCTCCTCCACAGACACTTCTCAAAACATAAATAATAATCACTTTGTTTGAGAGTACATTTATATGTGAATAGCACTTTTTCCATGGTTAATTAGTGCTGATTAAAAAATTAACATTTAAAGAAAGAACCAGATTGACCATACACAGCTACAATTCTTAATGAAGACAGTTTCCAATATTTTTTTCTTTCAGGTTAAAAACTATATCAAAATTGAGATGCTGTGAGATATTGCAGTAATAAAGAAGTTTGTGATTATTTACATATAAATATTATTTCTGTATGCATCAAAGGAAAATTTAATAAATAAAGGAAAGAGAATATACTGCCATTATCTATTCTCAAGTTTTATACCTTTAAGAAAGTTTTTGTTAAGTTGTTTATTTTTAAGTAAGTTATTTACTGGTATATTTAACACATTAGAATTACAAGAAATTAACGTCAGCCTGAAAATTTGACCAGTTAACTGTGGCACTCTCGTTTAAGAGTGCGCGCTGTTTTGTATTACCAGAATCGAGCTATGACGAGTATATTCGTCAATCATAGAGTAAGTTGTGCTGGTAAGATATTGGATGAAAAAGATGGGTTTATTTTATAAAATTAAAAATATTATTACTAATATTTACTTATTTGGTTACATAAGCATGTATTACACACATATTTAACTAAAAACACAATAAATTAAATATATTATATATGTATAAAAAAGTAAGAATTTAAATTCCTGCTATGGAGTGATATTCAACAAAACAGGGTTATACACAATGGGACTTTGCAAATCGAACACGAGTAACACGATTCCTTCCTGATCTTACGTTTGTAGCAATGAGAACACCTTCGCATAGGGTTGTTTTTTCCCGATGTTCCCGATATATAATCTGGAACATGATCCCACCTAACTGGCTTATATTAGGTCTAAATGCATTTGTGTTGATTTATTTCTTTCAATTGTACACGTTGCAAAAGTGTCTTCAATAAATTTGAGCAAAAAGTTGATACGCAATAATGTTCCATTATTTTTTTTTATATAATATGAATGCATTCAGACACACAATGTCTAAGAAATGGAGAAATACCTTTTTGTAGTACTTTTTAAGTCGTTTTCTTGCTGTGAAGTACGCTATGATAATTCCATCGCTCATATCCACTCCACCCATTTTTTACTATATTTAATCACTAGCTCCAGTTTCTTTGTTATTATTTTTCTTTTCTCTGTTTCTATTACGTTGCTTTATACACGCGTTGCTTACACTGCTTTATACGCATGACGAGTATACTCATCAATATATAAAATTGTGCCGCTTCTCCATGACGAGTATACTCGTCAATCACAGTTACTGATTAATACTTAGTTATCAAAAAGTTTCAATTACAAAGTATAATTATCAGAATTCTAGTGCAGGTTTAAATTTTAAACAGAAAATAAATACAAATTGAAATTTTTCCTTTCCAACATAATTATTAATATGTATGTATTTTTTATAAGTATTTAGTAAGTAAAATTTAGTTTTATTAAAAATCTTTCTCATTTTGATTTAAAAAATTCAGTCTATTAGCAGGTTTCAAGTCACGCATGTGGTCCACATACAGTTCTGAGACCATTGATCCAATACAAAGCTTTCTCACACATTGGGGGAGGGGGGAGATTCTACATTTTAATGTTCTTCAGTTATAATCCATACTCTCGTAAAAAAAAAAAAAAAAAAAAAAAAAAAAAAAAAAAAAAAAACTGAAAGCATAGCTTTCTCTTTAAAAAAATTACATCAAAATAAATTTCTATAGCCCACTACTTCAAATACCTATATTACTTAGACAGCCATCATTATATGTTTATTTGTTACATAATTACTCTGCAAAAAATAAAATTTTAGCAACATTTGTTTATATTAAAATATGCAAATAGAAAACGAAAATTTGGAATCTTCTATGCAAAGAACATGCAATTATTTTTTTCCAACTGAAAGGAATTCTTCCTTAAAAATACATTTTCAAGAACGAACACCAAACACAATTATACATTTTTCCCAACCCAATTTGGAAGTGCAAAATTTGCTAGACTTTTCATCCAGACCTGGTTTAAGGATTCATACATTTCATTTCTTACAACATGCAGATTCGTTTACTGTTGAATAAGAGAACCAAACCTATTAAAGTGTATGAATAAGAACTAGGCATAACTGATATAATTGCAGTTGGCAGGAATACTTATGTTACTGTGCACAATGGTCAAGTGTTCAAAATAGAAAGGAAAAACTGAAAGTCCTAACTAAATTGACAAAATGAACAGAAGTATTCCCTCGCCCCCCAAAAAGAAAATAAAAAATAATGCTGGGCAAGTTCTTCTACAGCAGTGAATTTTCAGCAGTATTCGTAGGGATAGTGGGAAATGTTTCCTTTTGCAGGTCCCAAACAGAAAAATTCAGATCTGGGAAATTCAATGGGTTTTTACTACAGCATGAAAAACCACAAGTAGCGTCATGGGTCTTTATACTATGATTTTTAAACAAAAGACTGGATATTTTTTAAGGATCAGCAAAACTGAGAAATAAACATAAATTAAAATAATCCAGATCACGTGGATTCATGTTCTGCTGAATTTATCTGAAGAAAAAGCAAAGAAACACTAACTTGTCCAAAGCAATTTTATCTGCAACTGTTGGTTTGCCGCCAGAAAAGTGGCAAAAATCCAACATATAAACACGAAATTGTATACAAGGTGATTGTAAGTAATTAAAATTCAAGTTGTTTTGTTATTCTCATATCATCAAATATGATCTGAGTTTTCCGATAGCATGAAATCATAGTGGCATATATATGTTTTTGAACAGCACTAAACAGATCCAATCTGCATTATGTACTATGAAAGAACCAAAATATAGAGGCTGTTCGCACGACAATTTTCATTGTATTTACAGAAACATTTACCCCCCTTTTTTTTAATGTTCCATTTGATTACTCTTATTTCTGACTATCTTTCTGCACCATAATTTCCAAAACAATAAAGCTTTTTTTGTAAATGTTCCATTTGATTAATTACTCTTATTCCTCACTTTCTTTCTACACCATAAATTCCAAAACAATAAAGTTGCCCCCCCCGAAGAGGAATGTTATCCCATTCCTCTTAAACAGATTGTCAAGGAGGGTTGTAGGTCAACGTCTCAACAATCCACTTTTTAAAAAAGTCTAAAAGTGCAGAAATCCATGGATGATACTTCAGGAGATTTAGTAGGAATATGAGTGAAGAGAATAGCCTTAACACACGCTTCTTGTTTTATTTTTTCCAGGAAATTAACAGTGAATTTCGAAATGCAGCTGCTTGCTTTGTCTTGATGCAGTTCCACCGATTGATGGCACTGCGAGTAAAGAGAAGGTATTTCATATTTGAAAACTGGGTATAAAATATGTTCCTGATAATATGTCAAGTTTTGTCAAGTTTTCTGCACTCTCTTTAATTTTTATTTATTGTTATATCAAAAACCAACAGCAATCATAAATTCTTTTGAAAAATTTTCTTTAGATTCTTTGAACCATGTTCTAAATTTTTTTTTCCTCTTTGATGATAATAAATGGATCCCTTTTTATTGCGATCATTTAAATATACCCAAGATTCATCTATTGTGACAACATTTTTCCATTTAGTCCGAATAATTGTTTCTCATAAAGAATTCTGCAGCATGTTCTGCTTTCAGCAATATGTTGTGGAGGAAGACTATACACATTACATTTTTTTTCGCCTTTTTAAAATATATTTTGCACAAAACAAAATTGTCAAATAGCAGATGCTAATTTACATTTTCAAAAATATTGTTGCAGTTATTTTTTTTTCACCAGGAAAGTTGTCCAAAAAATGTGCGAACACTTTCTGTATCTAATGCTCTATTACAGAAAATTTAATACACATAGGTAAGGAAAAATACACTACATGAAAATTTCCTCATTTGCAATATTATGAATTAAGAGGTTAATGTAAGTTTCAATATATGAAGTAAAATAATTTCATTGTGAAGTTACACACATTTTCTAAAGCATGAGCATCAAAAATAAATAAATACACTGGTTATCATAAATTAAGGAAAAATCACAAAAATCACGATTACTGAAAAAGTTACATGTAGAATTTAATGAAACTTACCCACAATATACAACACATAGTAAGGTATCAAATAATATAAAAAGAAATTACCAGACAAATATGGTAGTATAGAACTTAGCACATGTATAAAATGACAAATCGAAGGTGTCAGTTTGCTATAGGAAAAGTACCTTCAATATGAAATATGATCGCCTCTAGAAGCAATACAGCACATACAGCGATGTGTGATGGTTTCAATTATGCGGTCTATCAGTTCCATAGGAAGCCAGAGCCATTGCTCTTGCAAAGCAGTTGCAAGGGTTTGAGGGGGCGGATTGAGAGCAGCTAGACATCTCCCTAAAGCATCCCAAACATGCTTGATAGGATTCAAGTCAGGCCGGAGACTGAGCTGGCCCTCCATGCGCATAATTGTTTCCTTTTGAAGGTAATCATCTATGATGCTAGCCCTGTGTGGTCTTGCACTGTCGTCCTGTAACAGGAAAGCATCACCTATTGCCCCGGCATATGGGCACATATAAACATCAAGGATGTCATTTCTATAAATCTGAGCATTCACGGTTCCCCTTAGAAAGACATGGAGGTCTGTGCGTCCACCCAAAGAGATGCCACCCCAAACACAGACACTGCCTCTTCCGTATGCATCTCTTTCACGGATGTTTGACGGATGCTAATGGGTTCTACGTTCTCTCCATATCAAATAACGCCTACTATCGTTTTCTAGACTAAACCTTGTCTTATCCGTAAAGAGAACCGCCCTCCATTGATCAGGCGTCCAGTTAAGATGTTGTCATACCCACTGAAAACGGTCCCTCCCATGGTGTGACGTGAGTGGCACACAAATGGCTGGTCGCCTCGCATACAGACCACCTTTGTGAAGCCTTCTACGCACAGTTGACGTTGACACGAACCTTTCGGTGGCTGCAGCAAGGGAGGATCTAAGAAGAGTCGGAGTAGCGGTTCTATTCCTGCATGCACATAATGTCAAATATCGGTCATCGGCACTCGTTGTAGCAGTTGGCCGTCCTTGGCTGAACCTTCTAGATGCCGAATCTGGGTTTGAAATTCCCTCCACAGTCTATGAACCACAGTAGAACTCACATTTAGCCATCTGGCCACTTCTGTTTGACTTTGTTCTGCCTCTAGTTTCCCAATGGCTCTCCATCGCAGTTCTGCAGGCAAATGATGCCTGGAGGTCATTGTTATGCATTGGCTACCTCAGATTTCTGATGTCACTGTCACAGTGAAATATGTGGGCTTGCTCTCAAGCATGGACTTTTATGCTCCTTGCAGATGACGTATTCCAAAAGCAGCGCCACTAATTTGCCTATCGCAGTTTTACTCAGCTACTCTTACTTGGCAACATATTCAAATTTTGCATGGTTTGGCTTATTGGAGTTATGAGGGAGTTATTGCTATTTTTGTGATTTTTCCTTAATTTATGATAACCAGTGTACATAAAACAATACACTTTTTTTTACCAACAATAATTTTAAATTTTCATTATTACAGCTAGATGCTTCTCCCAAACAGCTAAATACTAATTAATTTTAATAATGCAAACTAGTATGACTGGTTAAAAAAATGCCACTTTAGAACAAAAATCTCATATCTGATTTTAAAATTCTTAAAATGAGATCCCTGGTTGATATACAATAACATTAATCTTAGTAACAATCATAGACATATTTTTATTTTAAAGACAAGATAATTCCATGATATTTTAACAAAATTATGGCTGTTACAATGTAGTTATTAAAACTAAAAGAATTTGTTAATGAAATTTTGTGTTTGTCTTTGGTGCTTTCAAATAAACTGGTCTAGCTCATTTAATATTCTTCTTTAACATTAAATTCCAAACAACTTTAAAAAAAACCTGCCACATTTCGTACTTAACATTTATTTATAGTAATACCTTTTCCTCAACTGAAATTAACACCACTTTTCTGAAATCAAGGAAAAACAAATAAAAAATAACTTCTTTCTTGAAAGTTCTTGGGATTCTATATCAGGTAAAAATAGAAGTTTTATTGAAAATTTCTATGTATTCTATGACTAACACACCATAATCCTTCTTGACCTGCACTGCAGTTAGAAATATGGAATTTAAATATGTGAAACAAAATACATAATAAAAGGAAGAAGCAACATTTGCAGCACACACAAAACAAATAATTACAAATCATGGAGAAATAGTGGACTAGATTGGAAATAAATTTTTTTTTTAAAACTTAACTGTATACATTTTTCTCTCTTTAATTTTATAAAACTAGTGTCAAAATAAGGGTAAAATTTTAAATTTTAAAATTGAATTCTGTTAATTTAAAATTTGATGTATTTTCTTTACATACATTTAAATTTATTTAAAGGAACAGCAAAAATTTTACTTATTTTCACATCTGAATGATTTTCAGAACACAGATTATGAACAAGCCTTTTTTCTTCCCTCACCCGCTCTTCTAAATAACATTTGCACTAAAACACTGAATTATATTAAATATGCAATATTTACTATTGATAAATATTTTCAGTTAATACAAACATTTTAATAATTATATCTGATTTTCCTTCCTTGATGAAAATAACCAAAATTAAACCAAATATATTAATTCAGGTTATTTTAAATTATTAACTGCTTGATGATTAAATTAAATCACCCATCCCTGATTAAGCCTCGAATTTTTTACCTGATCTTCTTGAGGTGGAGAAGTAGAAGCAGCAGCAGCGACAACAGCATGATTCTGATTGATACCATTTCGTATGTCCCCTGAATCTGAAAAAGAAAGAACACACTAAGATATTTATCGAATACACCTTCTTTGTGTTATCCTTACAGACTAGATAGTGGCCTGTATAATAAATAGTATTCTGCTTTACAATATACACGAAAAGGGGTTTTGACCAAATTTTACATATTTAAAATCACATTCAAGCATTTAAAAAAAAATGCTGGCATCTGAAACATACTTTCATAAATTTTAATTTTCCTTGTACAGAATATAAGACAGGGAATGCTGATGTAATTCCAAAAGATAGAGAAGAATGGTTAGTTTTTTAAATTATCCATACATATGGAATTATAAAATGCATAGATAAGTTTATTTCTTGAAGTTCCTACCTGCAGAAGTAAATCAATTTGTTTAACACTATATAATTAATTGCTGCTAAAAGCTTCAGTTTGTGCCATATAGGAAACTTCAAATAGATATCCTTAAGCAGCTTTGTTTTCATCCTTCATTATCATCTTTAAGCCACATACTTAATCTTATTCTATTAACTTTGATATGCTCTTCACTTGTTATATATTTTATATGGATCACTGGAATTTACAAATAACAAAATGGGAGCCACCATGTCTTCAAATTACATAATGTTGTCACACAGTTTATAATAGTCTAATTTCTGTACAATGAAATTATACACCACCACAGAACTGTGCTGTAGAACAGCAATATTGTAAAGTGCACACAGATAGTAAGAACATGTTTCGAAGAAAGATCACATTTAAAACAGTCATATTTTTTTTTCATTGCTGGTGCAAGGATTGAACATTAGATAAATTTTGACAAAAACTTAATTTAAACAGCAGCAAAAATGTTAGTTATTATTAAAGTAATATTAATTTAACAAAATAAAAATGGAGGTTTTTTTCCTTTTCTTTTTTTAATGAAAACATATTCTGCAACTCTAAAGTCAAATCATCAAGAAATACAGAAGTTTACATTCAAAGACAATTTGACACTATTGAAGGAAAGTATTTACAACCTGTGCAAGAATCTAATAATAAGAATAATAAGTATAACAGATCAGTCCCCCCCCTGGCAAATTGTTTGATAAATGTTGCTACTTATTAATTATGGTGTCAGTCTTCGAATCAGGGATACATGAAACTTAACCAAAAAAATTTCTGAGAGACTGTTAAAATCTTATGAATTATGAAATTTATACCATTAGAATAATAAATGCAGAAACTAATTATTATAATACATTACACTGAACAGACAACTGCATAGTATTATATAAACTTTAAACTGTTTACATTTGATTTCTTTTTTTATTTATAATTCATAAAATTTCTATGGTCAAATTCAAATGCAAAGATTCTGAGTAGCAAAAGGAAACACGTTTCAAGTTTTCATTTCTTTGACAATTAGCTATGCATTCTATTGTTATTTTAAAATCTTTCAAAAATATTCATATTGAACGACCTTTTTCCAATTTATTAAAATTTATTATTAGGCATTTTACTATTCCAGAAAGTAAAATGGTTTTTCATATCATGTAAATACTTTGTATGCTTTATTAAGAAATGTCAAAGACAACTGCAATATTATGCACTACGTGTCAAGAGAGATAATATGGAGGACTACCAAAATATCTCATTGGATATTTTCAATCACCAAGCAGACAAAACGGATACAAGTGATCTGCATGAAGTTTTCCAAGATCAGAGTAATGATTAAATTTTAACACTAATAAAACACAATCAGTGGCATACATAGCTTCTTGTCTAATAGTGTGTTAGACAGTTTCATAATTTTGCAATACTTGCAAGTGAAAACATAAATCAGACATTAAGAGTTATGAGACAGATAAAAGTGTATATGACTTAACATGTTAAGTTAGAACTTAACATGCTGTATTCTAACTTAACATGCCGCCGCCTATTAGATATGGAGAGAAACTCTCACTTGGCCATCTGGATTCAGCTAAGCAACATACATTATAGCAGAAGTTAAAAGTACTTATCATACATATGAAATAACAAATTTGCAAGTGCAGGAAAATTAGGCTTCGTAGCATTTCCTCTAGTTTTTCACTAAAATGAACATGTTTCATGTTCAGATTGTTAATATTTGTTTAATTTAAAAGTTCAGGATTATAATCCCTAGAAAATATTGTTGGCATATTATTTGGCATCTTTGAACTGTGTATAATGGATCTTATCTTCTTGCATATGAAAATCATAAAAGTGCATTTATTGTACTTTATTTCCTTCATAAAATGTGTTTAATAACTGAATCATGCTTACAAGATCTTGTATCTCTGTACAAATATTATTGCGTTATTTTCTTCCTTTACGTTTGTACGGGGTTTATAGATTTGCAGTGAATAACGGCGACACTTGATGGAGTATTGAAACACACTTTATTTAGCCAATATTAATCAGACAGATCCAAAGTCATGTTTCACAGTCATCGAAGACTCGCTGGAACAATCAGTGACACAGCCTTCAGGTTATCAGGCTATAACAATGGAGACAGCTTCACTGCAAAGCACCAGAGTACAGCTCCTGACTGCGTGGTCATTCTCGGAACTCCACGTACTCTCGAGACTCTCCACACTACAACTTGTGATGCACTTGATGACACACAGAGCACAGCTCTCGACTCTTTGGTTCAGACTGGTAAATCGGTCCAAGGTTTGAATTCCGTGAACGGGCTGGCTGCATGGGCGTTTTCGTGGTTTTACCCATGTGTAACGTATATACGAGCCAGTTTACCTTAGAAAGTCCTTCACAAAGGCATCCCTCCCCTTAGGCAAATAGCCGTAGTGTGCTTTGTCATAATTAAACAAACCAAACAAATATTTCGCATTCTACTTCCCCCGCATATTATACTTTTATTAATTTATTGTTTTAGTTATTATTTTTTCATAATTAGATTCTATTTTGTTTATTTTTTTCTCAGATACCACCTTATAGTTACTTTCATAAACTATCATCATTCTAATATTAACATGTTCACCAACTATAAGTATACTCAGAGTTTGCATATGAGCCTGACAACTATGAAAACATTCATATAACAATTACCAAAATTATAGTTTGTATATAAGGCTGCCAACTATAAAACATTCATACATTAATTACTAAGCTCCTATGTCAAACATAACATGTTAATTTAAACTAAGCATGTTAATTTGGACTCCTGGTTTGGTAAGAAAGTCAGCAGTATTGATATAAGAAAAACAGTCATCAGAAATACAATATACTGTACTTGTAAGTAGAATTATTGTAAAAAATGCATATTCATTGCTACAAATAAAACAATTTTTTAAGCTTTTCTCAGCACGTTAATATATATGTGTCAATATATGATTCTGTATAATACATAAAAAATAGAAACATTTTTATGAAAATATAAAAGTGTATCATAAACTTATCAGTGAATCATGTAAATTAATTACAAATGGAAGAATTTAAAGCAATTTTCTCCATGTATGGTGGTGTTTATTCCTAGCACACACAACAATCATGAGTTTCATATTGTCATTTGTTTTGTGCATGTACTTAGCATGCCTTTGTCACGTAATTCTTTCCTCCATAGATAAGTAAAGTTCCAAATAATGTGGACCCAAAATCCTGATGTCATTCTGTAATGTTTGAGACTCATCCATTCCTACATAAACTGAAATACATTCATCTCTAAATTTTATTTCCTTCTATTTATTATATTTCCAGTGAGTAAACTGTAAAATGCTTCTATATTTTGGATGTATACATCAAAATGCCCATTGCCAATTTACCTGCTACCAAACTGTCTTTTGTAACACAAAAAGTAAAAATATATTTGACCAGAAAATTCTAAAGACTAACACAAGATTATTCATAATTAGCATATAAAACAAAATATTAACTGATAAACCAATTATGTGTGTGTGATTATGGCAAAGCCTCCAGGGCTATCTGCCTAAGAGAAGGGATGCCTTCGTGGAGGACTTTCTAAGGCAAACTGGCTCGTATACATGTTACACATTGGGAAAACAATGAAAATGCCCATGCAGCCAGCCTGTTCGCGGGATTCGAACCTTGGACCAAACTATCAGTGTTCAGCGACTTTACCGCTCGGCTGCTAGTGGGCCGATAAACCAATTATGAAATTAATTATTTTGATCTTGCAGAAGAGAACATGTTTAGTATGCGAATAACAAACTACACGCCTGAGAAACATGACAGTAACATTAAAAAAAAAGTAATATGCCTGAATAATATGTAATTACTATTTTTAAAGGAAAAAATTTTTAATAGTTGTATTGCTTACCTGTGGAAGTACTTGCTTCAGGCTGATGACCTCTTCTCAGAAAGGCTGAAGGATTAAAGGCATTGTTCCAAATATTCTGATTATGAAAACTACCAAACAGACCACCATCATTATTGGGTGGAACAAGTCGCTCAGCATAACCTTGAGCCATTTGCTGGCGATTCTGGAGCAAGTAAAACATAAATCTTTTCCATTATATGACAGCAGATGCCAAACAATTTTCAAAGTATACAGTCAGTAAAAAATTTTGGAATATACTATTTCATTTTGTTCTCTGTTCACTGAATTAACTAACCTAAGAAATTAATATATGTTAAGAAAAATTTTAGCTTATATGAAATGAACTAGTGATGAAAATCCATTTTCTCGCTAGATGTATTACAAGCTAGCACATATGTCAATTTAACAAAAACACTGTTTGACACATACTGTTCTATGTTCTATAACAGAAAAGATAGCAAAACTTTCATTTATAATATTTGGAGCTTTGTAAGCTATATACCTTAATGCCTTGGCATTATTTTCAATTAAAAATCTAATGTCAGAATGTTTATTAAAACATTAGATTTTTTAAAAATATTTTACAAATCAGCTCATAAAACTTAGAAAGACTTTTCAAAAATGGTGGTTTGTATTGCATCTATTCATGTTCTTCCTTACCATATTATCAATAATCCAATTCTGAACTTATAGAAGTTTAAGTATAATTTCAGTAATTCACAAAGCCCCTTTATACATTGGAGAACAACGATTTATAGTGTAAAACACATTTTAGTGTGATAAATAATTTTTTTAAGCATTTTTCGAGCTTATAGCACTTTTGACTTGTTTTGTTCCCCCCCAACCTGTTAGTGGTTTGCATGTTAAAGCATATAACATATTTTGCTGCCTAATATGATACATATTTTTGTATAAAAAATTATATATGCAAGAAAAATAAAGAATATGTAAAAGATAAAAAATTAGCAGCGTAAATTAATTTCCCTTCTCTATTCTAAAAATAGCAACATCTATTTGCACTGCGTCATTTCAAGAAATTTGTCACATGACTCTTACATAATTCTGGTGATGTAAACTGAAGTAAAACTCAAACAGCCAATAATAATTTTACAGCAATATTAATTATCCAATTAAAATGCTTAGAGAATCAAAACTAACTCAGTTTGACTTAAGATTTCATCCTGAACATTACGCACTTTCTTTCAACGCTTTGCCTTAGCTCGACTGTAGTCTGTCTACTCCTTCTTTTTTGCTGCAAATGTATCAAAAATGTAAGTCTTTTGGAATAAGCATATTTAATGTGCCAACTTGTGTGTAACCGCAACATATTGCTGAAAATAAAACTGAAGATTTAATCTGCCTTCGCCTCCAATTTCCTAGTCATTATGGATCAACACTTCTGCGCCATCAAAATTCCTGCTTCTGAATATACATGTATATTATATGCACCATTATTCTCATGCAATATTTATATTAATAATTTAGGAAAAATATGTGCAAAAATAAATAACATTTTAACTACTTGTAAATATAAATTAATATTTGTAATTACAGAATTAATAAATTCTATAATTTGAAGATCAGGAATTAAAAGGTTATAATTTACTCTACTCTAAATAACAAGAAAGAGAAAAATATAAATAATATAAAAGACCACGAGAATATCATAATCATACATTAGAGTTTCCTCTTTCACGAGAAGCTCTATTCAGCAGCATCTGCTGTTCTAACATCTCAAGCTGTAGTTGCCTTTGGATTTCCAAAGTGGCACCCATGGGGACGGAACCCTCACTTGGAGGGGAAGAATCAAGAATCCAACTGAAACAAATTCCAGCACATTTTGCTACAAATTTGGGTATTTTAATTATATCTAAGATATGTAGAACATTCCATCTGCAGATAATTCCAGCTACCTATATAAAAAGGAAGGAAGAAGAAACAGTTATAATGATATAAAAACTGCACATCATCATATATTCCTAAACATTAATATATATATACAGTCAAAAGTCGTTAATCCGGACTCGTCTGGACTTCGGCGATTCCGGATTATAGATCATCAGTTTAAATCTGGTAAGATGGCATGCAGAAATTATAAAATTAAAATTATGAAACCGTAATTTATGAAATAAAGAACAATTATGATCTAAAGGGTATCAAAATTTACAAAAAAAAAAAAAAAAAAAAAAAAAAAAAAGAGCTTAGTATTTGTTTACTTTATTAAACATTTCTTTCAATGTAAGTTGTTTAAGTTGCTTCATTTTTTATGTGATAATACATTCTCTTTAATTATATAAACAGACATAATTTCTTGTTCAGTTACAAAGTTCCGCTGTTCAAGTTCTATAATTGCTGTGTCGAGAATACCGGCTAATTTGTCAAATGAAATTTTTTCGTTTTCAATAACCTATGTTACTTTCTTTGCTATCGGAAGCGAATTATAATGACGAGGAATTTGATTTAAATCATGTCAAAGACAGAGTACATCGAGATGAAATACTACATTTAGTAAGGAATTATAAGCCAAATAAAATAAAAACATCTGCCCTGAAGATACGGATAGTGCTGGCAGATCAACTTCCAATTCATTGCGTGCTGCGGCGTTAAAGATAAACAAAGGATATGCCTTTATTTATTTTTTCCAGCAATTCCACTTTTTGTTTAATGGACTTCGAAACATACTTTCGCTTTGTAGATCCTTTACATATTAGTAAATATATATCAGAAATTCTATTTGACATAATCGAAAGTTCAAGCTTACTTTTATAAAATTGCTCTAACAGTCTGCAAATAATAATAAGCTGAATCCAATTCGAAGATTAAGGAACAACGCAATCTGCAACATTAACTTAATTAGATAATTTTAGCTTAGCTTATACCTTCCGTTATACATTAAACGCGCATTCGTAAACATATTTAGCGCACACGCTACGGCTGCGAATATGCATCAACTCGACGCATGCGCAGAAAGTTTCTAGCTTTGAGGTCCGGATTATGGCCGTCCGAATTAATGACTTTTGACTGTATATAGTATATATAGTTGCATAAGAAACTAATAGTAAAGTTAAATAACTTTAAATAAATAATTAAAGAATTCACTTGTGCCATTGCTGAAAGAATGAAATTTGAATTTAACAAATATTCTCTAATATACAAAGTTAATTTAAATTTTAAGCTATGAAAATTCAATTGTATACAAATAAAAGATTAATTATTCCTGCAAATTAATTTGCAATATCTTTTAAATTCAGAAAGCATACGTAAATTAAGTGCAAGTATTGAAAAACACGATAAAATATTTAATAATCCAAAATAGAATGCTAATTTTTTTAATTAATTGCATAAAATGAATAACTGCTGAGCAGGCAGGAGACAGATCTCTTCCAGGGGAAATTGCCTCCAAACCTAACTCTCCAATTATTCAAATCGTGTTTCATTATCCATATAGGCATGGCTAAATTATTCAAAACCAAAAGTAGTGAAGTGCTTAAATAAAATTTAACTATAAAAGAATTCTGAGAAATTTAGTATGTAAATCGACTCGGAAACAAATTCCTTTAATTAAAAGTACATTGCTAATGTAATTAAGAGTATAAATTCAAAGTAATTAAAAAACTCTTTGCCTATTCTAAAACTTCCCCGACACAAATTATGCAAATAAACCAAAATAAACAAAATACAATCTATAAAAATAAAAAAATAATACTAGAGCAAGTAAATAGGCAAGTAAATAGTAAGTTTAAATTTAACTTACTATTTACTTGCCTTTTTAGTATTTTGATTTTTAGTTTAAATTTAACTTAACCTTGTAACTACATATTTTGTACGCCGGAGAGTGGAGCTTTATTTAGAGGATATTTGTTATATTATATATAAATAATTTATAAGAAAACATTGTTTAAAACCATGAAAAAAAATTAAGATTGTATCATTTTTTAATTTCTTATGATTCTGAATTAACTTTTAATGTTCTAATATGTTTACTTCTGTTTTTGAGTTTGAAAATGAGAGTACAGGGGATATGTCTTCTAAAGTAAGCATCTTGTTCAGATTAATTGTGCTCTTATTGAGAAACTTTACTTTTAAGATTATTTGCTATTTTGTTTTATAGGATTCTTTTGGCTTAAATGGACTGTCATTATTAGGATTAAGTATTAATTGTAACTTATGGTTTGGATCTAGCAAATAATTAGATGCTTACTTGGAAGTAAGATGAAACACTCTACTAATTTAGTTGTTATTAATTAATGGTAGATTGGTTTATCCCCTTGATAAGTCGATTACTCTGCGATCAATGACAATAGCAACTTTTTCAATACTTAAAATAGTATTTACTTTTGGTTTTTGTATTTTTGCGATTAAAGATTTTTATGTTTTTAAACAAGATTGAAATTACTATTTAAAATATTTAAATTCTGACTGTTTTTTATCATTCATGGTTTTAAATTGAATTTGTGTTCCTTGGAGATGGTATATGGAAAGTTTTCCTATTATAAATGAATATGAATTATTGGTTTGTTACTTTGCAACTTTAGTGCAAGTCAGGCTTTTTAATCTACTTTAATACTTTTTAAAAAAATTTATATATATATATATAATTATTTCCTAAACCGTATTGATTATTGATTATATTATCTCCTAAGTTTAATTAAAGTAGAATTATTTTATATATATTAATATAAGTGAAAATTCCAGTGGTATTCTGAGAACAGAACTATTCACATACACTTAATTCTACTATTTTAGCTTGTAAATGCAGCCATTTTATCCCACTGGTAGTTCTAGAGGTCAAACGTTTATGAATTTTCATGCAATTTCTAATAATTCTCTAACCTGAGATAAATATTTAAGAAAAATTTTCTATGATTTTATTAATTGTACTTTGTGGATTTTATTTAACATGTGAATTTTTTCTAATTATGAAAATATTCCAGAGTTTAAAAGTAAATTTGCAATAAAAACTGCTATATTATAAACTTTTTTTTCCCAAATTTTCAATTCTGCTACTGCCATTTAATTTTTTAAATTTAACTACCTTAATTCATAATGTAATTATGAGTACTTCCTTATTATAGTGGAGCGCAAAATTTAATCGTTCATCAACCGAGATTTAATGTACTGCGAGATTTCAACGAGATATCTTGATTGATAGCTATTCAGTCTTGGAGGCCACTATAATATAGAAGAACCTGTAACTGTTATTTTAGCATTAATGTGAAGATCAATAATATATAAATACTGCAAGATCTCAGGAAAAGAAAATATGGATGAGAAACAAAAATTTTAAACAATAATAAAGAATAGGCTAATAGAGAATATTTTACTGTTATTAACAAAATGTACTTGAGCCGTGACTTTTACAGATGAAATCTTAATTTCATAAACTACATATGAGAGAATGGTACCTGCAGCATTTCTTTCGGATATTATATTTATAAATTACCTTGTATGTTAAATCTGGGCAATATAAAAACACTGATAATATTCATGATAGTATAGTTAAATAACCTATTCTTAAATTCAAGTATCTCAAATCACCCAGTGATTAAAATAACACAAATAAAGAAAGCACGATTTCCTTTTCTAATGCACCACTTTCAAACACTTCATATGAATTTACTAATTTTCTTCATTAACATTTTTTTCTCATTTGTCAAAGAAATTAGGCTCCTTAAAAAACTGATTTTAATAGATTATTGAATTAGCAGGTTTTTTACAAAATTGAATTTTTTTAATTACATACCCTAGAAAAGCGAGCCAAATTAATGGTTATCATAAAATTACATATAAGCCTTGCTCACATGCAAAGAGAAATTGTCCTAGTTTCAAACACTGGTCTTGTTTTCTCGCCCAAAACTGTACAAATGAACAACTTCTGGATACAAGAATTAATTCAGAATGAAGTATTGAAAACTATTAATTAGAAGAATAATCAAAATTTGGAAAAATATCATGTTACAAACCTTTAAACCAAATGTTCTTGATGTAAATAGTTTTATTAGAGATTCAAGAAATGAAGTGACATCAATCATTAACAATTGATTTTAACAGTTGCACTAAATTATTCCTGAAAGTGATCTACCATTATCACAAAGATTTATAAAAATGACTATGCTCAAAAGAGGGAATGAAATTTCATAGACCTACAAATTTTCATATTATTATCAGTTTATCATTTTTTGTGACACAATGTAATGACAACGAAACAATGGATTCCACATTGAATGTGAAGAGGAAATACTATGAATCACAAAAGCACCTGGCCTTTCCCTCCCAAAGATTGTAAAAAAAAAATTCTAATAAATTTGATACAGAGTATGAAGCATTTGATGCTACCCCAAAATCGATAAAATCTGTAGAGTGAATTCTTCATAACAAATTCACACTTTACTCATAAATTTATTTTCTAAACATTATTTATTGCATTTTCCCCCTTAAAAATTTTGTTGACATGCATTGTTTCATAAAATATTTTTTAATGACTTCACTGACGTCTTCATAAAATAGTAGCTGCACAATCTGTATGTTTCATTGCATATATTCATGTCTATTTTAATATCTTGATTTAAGAAATAGTTTCATTTTTATGAACACCAAGTGATTTATTAAGTCCAAATTCAACAGTATATTATCACAATGTTTCATGCAACTGTATGCAGCTTAACCCATTTGAGACCAATGCCCCATAGGCACGACACAATGATTCCACTCTTACCAGCCCAGCATCGCTTCTACATGAAGAGCTCCGATAAATCTTCTCAGCCCAGTGTTGTGTATGCATAATTTGCAAATAGAATGATTTATTTGAATTTTTAATGCCAGTAAATGGCACTAAATGCTAATGATTTCACACTAGTTGAGTCGTGATATTTGAGCTTCATGTACATGCATCAGTTTTTGTTCTGTGTTTCTGGTTTTGATATTTTGATGTAAACAAATTGGGAATCACAGTTCTTTATAAGTATGCATGGGAGTTAAAAGGGCACTAATGTTTTTTTTTATTATTATTATTTCATTAAAAAAATTCATTTTTTGCTGTTTTTGTTCTTTGCTTTTTTTCATTGTTAGAATGTCAGGAAGTGTATCCATCTTATCGTTTTTGTTGACATTATTTATTTTTTCTGTGCGCTACAGACAAGGAAAAGCGAAAGCAAACATTGTATTATAAGTGGAAAATATGCAATATAGGACTGTGCATTGATCTTGAATTATTCCACACACAGCAGAATTTTTAAATTAGAATTTAATTACCTACAGATAATTATTGCTTAATATTCTTTGTTTAAATTTAATATCTGCAATTTTGTTTTCATGTGTATAGTATTTGTTTTCATGTGTATAGTTATAATTTTAGTATTTTGCATGTTTCATTTATTTCTATTAATGTGATATTCTTTACATTAATACATATTAAGAATTAGTATATTGAGTACATAACTTCAAAAATTGAAGTCATTATATTGAAATGCTGATTTTATATGAATTTTTTTATTAGGCTTAACTGCTGAAAATGTGTGGGCTGGTGGCGACATTCTATTTTGGAGGTTCGGTCCTGTGACTGCACTTTGTTCTCCCCATGCTGGTGTTACTTTTGTACAGCTGTATGAGGTAAAATTCAATTATCTGCAATCAATATCAAATTTAATGTTAACAATTCCTATTGTGACAAATAATTACACATTCGGTATGTAGAATTATTAAATATAAAAGGCAAATACTAAATGAACTTACTAAAGAACAAATACCAGATATCATTGATGCTTCATTATAACTCATAACCTATAAAATGCAAAGTCATTAATTTAGAATATATTAAAAAACAAACATCTTCAGACAATTTCATGAATATGTCATTCATCCTCATAATTATATTGCTCTACAAATGAATATGCATGTCTTGAAATAAATTCAGTCTGATTGTCAGTTATAATAGCATACTCTCATTACTCAATAATTAAAAACTTACTACAGTTGTTAATATATAAACTCACAGTAATTAAAAGGGTGAAATTTTAAAATAAAAAATGTGACGATGTTTTCATCACTGTGTTATACACAAGTAAAATACACAAGTCATACCCAAATAAAATACTGCTCAAACGGTATGGCAATTACCGTTGCTAACTGCTGTGCCAAAGGGCCTGGATTTGAATTCCAAAGAAGGCATGGATGTTTATAAATGTATAGTGTTCATTTGGCATGTAGGCATCCTAAATATGGGACGAGTCGAAAATCCTTTTGAGAGGTTGGTGGTAGGGAAGGGTGGGAGACCCTTGGACATATCCTCCTTACTCTCCATCAAAACCGGGGGCAGAACTGAGCTAAATCGCACTGTCACCAGTAAGCTGCACGAGGATGTTGCCAACAACAGCATAAACTTGCCCTCTTTGCCAGGAGGAATTTCGTGGACTTCGGCTGACTACAGGTCGGCAGACCTTGCAAATGTTAATAATGCTGCACATACGCAAATCATTAGCTTCCAACGGGGAATAAGCATAAAAGAGGTGAACACACAGCAGGCTTTTCATATCGGAATTGCATTTGCCTACTGTTTAGCTGAGCAGATCTACATATGCCTGATGTACAAAAGCAGAACTCAAACCAAATCAAGTCTATATTTTATTGTAGAAAAGCCCACACATCTTACCACAAAATTGCTGTATATGGTGGTTTCAAGAGGGGCAGAGAGTGATGTGCAGGCTAATATTTAAACCAACATTTAAAAGGATAAGCATCTTATGTATATGGTGGGCATGGGACCATCAATCAATGTGGGAATGGGACCAGTGTTTTAATCAGATCATGCACCCTATCTCAAGAATTAGATTGTGTAGCCATCACCATAAAAACATGCCTTGATTTTCAAGCTATATTTATTAGCAGAAAGAATGGTAGTTCGCAACACTGCACCTCATGCTTAGCACGAGTTTTGTACTTGTTTCATTCACATTTACCAAATATAATCATTTGATTTGGTAATTAGCAATGTTCTTAAATAGAATAATTTATACTTTTATGCACTAATTTTTTATAGAAACACTCAAAAAATGCATTATTTTCATTCAAAAAATCAATTTTTATCTACAAGAAGTGATTGCAAGTTCTTTCTGATAAAAGTTCCCATCAGCAAAATGGTCCAAGATATATGTAATATTTTTTTTATACACGCAATTTCAGTTTATTTTTTACCCATTTTGAACTCTAGCAAATTAATAAAAAGTGTATACTATGTTCTAAATCTATATTTTACGATGAGAATTATCTTACAAACATTTTTAAAATGCATGCCTATAAAGTTTAACTCCAACAGTCAGAATCTTTTGCAACAAGATTTTGATTCATATCAACCAATATTTATTCAAGACAATTAAGATTCAATCGCTCTAATTTGTACATTTTTCCATGACTGAAAATTAAGATTTTTTTTCATCCTAAATATAATTTAAGCTTTTATAACTGTACTTAATTCAGCTCCATAACATTGGCAAACTGCATAATAATGTAAAGAAATAATTTTGATTTTATTGATTAACCCTTTTGTGGGCCGTGGGAAGGCTACTTCCCACCTACATGATCCTGGGAAATACACCTGTGGGAAGCACAAAACCCACTATAATATATTGGCTTTGGTATTATAACGTTGGAACTCTAATTCCATTCAGTATAGTGCTGCCATCTGTGTCAATCGATTGAAAAACAATTAGCACATTGTTTTGAAAGTTCGAACGCATTGTGTGAGATCTGTTATTGAGACCCTGTTCTGATTTGGATTTGCAATTGCTATACGATTCTGCTACAATGTAAGTAAAACTGTTTTCTATTATAAATGTTCTCTTATTTTGTATATTTGCAGTAACTATATAATACTGAACAATAAATAATGGGTGAAAAGGAAAATGCCATTATTGCATCAGTATGAAAGACACGTGCAATAGGTATGTTGAAAAAATTAGAATATTTGAAAATACATTTGAAAATATCATTCAGTTTACTGAGAAAGAAAAGGATTATTTTGGCATGATTTTACTGAGGAAATTTTACAGAATATGTTGACGAAACTCATATGCAAGCAACCTAAGAAAAGGAAGAGATTGGGTCATACCACAAAGACATTATCCTGAACTGGAAAGAATCACATCAGAAGAATTGAAAGCATGGGTAGGTATGCATATACTCATGGGTAACATCAATTGCCTGAACTGAAAAACTGGAGCACAGACCCTATTCTCAATGTTCATTCAGTAGCAAGAATAATAATCGCAAAGAGGTTCAAAAAATAACTGAGACTTTACATGTAAACGATAACAGCACAAATCCCTTGGGCAACTTGGCATGATAAATTCCATAAAGTCAGAAATCCCCAAGCTCAATGATTCATACCTAAAGTCTATGAAACCTTCGTCAACATCATGAATAGATGAACATATGAGAGCTTTCAAAGGGAGAACTTCATTGAAGCAGTATATGCCAATGAAGACTATAAAAAGAAGTTACAAGGTGTGGTGTTTAGCAGACTGTAAGACTGGATATATTCAAAAATTTGAAATTTATTGTGAAAAAGAAACTTCTGATAATAAGGATAAAATATTGAGCTTAGGGAAAACACTAATAACTATACTAACGGAAGATGTGAAACAAACAGGTCATCTTATAGCCTATGATAACTATTTGACATCTTTTAGGCTTGCAAAAAGTCTACTTATAAGTGGTCTTTTTTCTGTGGGGACTGTGAGGCCGCAAAGGAAGGATCTTCCACCGATACTGAAGGCTAATAACAAACTACAAAGGGAGAAATCAATGTTCCTAGCTAAGGAAGGTGTTGCTGCAATAAAGTGGATAGACAAAAAGGCTATGTTTGACAAAAAGGCATTGTTGACTACTGCACACAATTCAGCGATTATTACATCTGTAAATCGTACAAAAAAGGATGGTACTAAAACTGAAGTACCTTGCTCTAAAGCTGTTGCCGTATATAACGATATCATGAGAGGGGTTGATTGCTTCGATCAAAGAAAAAAAAGATACCAAATATGAAGAAGATCTGTAGAATGGTGGCGTCGTATTTTTTATTTTCTTACTGATCTTGGCATCGTAAATAGTTTTATACTGTGGCAAGTAAACAGAAGAAACAGAAGTTTAGACCAGCTAACATTCCGTATAGCATTAGTTTATCAACTAATAGACGGATATTTCTCGAAAAAAGAGAAGGCTGTCCTGCTAGCTTCCAAGCAAAACGGTGTGCAGTTCCGTATGATGTACGCTTAGTCCAATGTGTGGGAAATCCTATGCCAAAGATGGTTTCCAACTATAGACGATGTAAGAAATGTAGCCAAAGGCCCAAGAAAAGAGTACCCTCTATATGTGTGCAGTATCTGAAGTACCCTTGTGTATTGCAACATGTTTCTCATCTTTTCACAGCAAATAATCACCTTTACAATTGCAATTTTCTCTATGACCTTAAAAGGTCCCGTGGGAAGTATACTTCCCACCGCTAGAATTTAAATGTAAACAAAAATTTGGCATAATAAAATATATTTCCTTAAATGCTATTGTTTAGTGGAAAAAAAAAAAAAAAAACAGGAGAAATTCAAAAGAGAAATAAATGGCCCACGAAAGGGTTAAGGATGAATTTTTCTTAAATCAGCTCCATAAGATTGGCAAATTGCATAATAACATAAAGAAACAATTTTGATTTTATTGATTGGGAATGAATTTTTCCACATTGCATTGGACTTTCAAATCAATTTAATTATATTACAAGATATATAATCTTAAAAAATCATTGTGATATGTTTCCAACTTTGATGAAAACTGTTGTTAAGAATATTGACATAAAAGAATTAACACACAAAGTGATGGTTAAGAAGGAATTCAATAATACCTGTAGTTAATTATGTTGACATGTGAATAAAAAATGACAGCAATAGATCTGAGGGCAGAATTTAAATAAATATGTAGTTAAATACTGATACATGAATTAATGTACAATAATGGTAGTTAGTAATAAATAAGGAACTAAATTACTAAAACCAAATCTCTCATTTTCATTCAAATCAAATCTTTACAGAGACACGGTTTCCAAGATTATATTAAGAGCTCATAAAATAGTACAGCTATTTAATATAATAGTTCAGAAACTTATTTGATAACATTCTATGAGATACCAGTTTTAACTTACCTATATCTGTTTATTGTTCATATATGACTCCAAAATTACTCAAATGCAGCTCCAACTCAAAACTAATTGTTCTGGACAAAAAATAGGAAATTAAAATACTTTTATATTAAATCCTGACAGAAGTGACTGTTGCTGTGTTCTATCTGTACATGTTGCATATCATAACTTGCATCTGCATTATACCAAAAATTATTAAACGAAAAAAATTTTTCTGGAAGGGAGGAGAAAATAAAAGAAACATTGTAATACAATTAACAACTACTTTTTTAATATTTTGATGTAAATTTTAATTTATTCTGAATTTCAGTTATAAGTTTAAAAAAATCCCATATTTGCCTTGTTCAAAATGCTATTTATTTTGCTTGAGAAATTACAGTTTGTCTTAAATTCACTATTTTGAAAGAAACCATGCTCAATTTACTTACTTTCCATGCCCATTTAAGAGATATAAATGTTTTAATTAGCTCAGATTTACTGCAGCTATTAGCATTATTTAACTGTGAGCACACTTTTCCATTGTTTGCTGCTAGTGATATCATGACTGCAATACCAAGTCCTTGTTTTCATGGTGGCACAGTAAACAAATATGGAGTGGTACAATAAACAAGTACATTTATTATGGATTGCTTACAATTTGGCCATTGCTTAGCCTACCTTTAGTTGCACAAAACAAATATTTGTTATTATAACAGTACTTTCAAAGATGTACATCGACTAATATGACATTATCATATGATCAAAGATGTACAGAACATTATCTTTATAGATGAATCCTACTTTTTCATGTAGCACCGTGATGGTTATGTCTATGTGTGGTGGTACTATGGAGATTAACTGCTGTAGTTATTATTCATCATTATACTGGGATAATACATTAGAGGCATGAGATGCTATTAGATGAGTCCCATTTATCTATAAGTAGCATATCCATATTCTTACCAAGAAGCATTCACAGATGTTAGAATAAATGGTTTTCCTACATATTCAGAGCCTCAATGGAGCTACTTACCAAAAGGCCAATGTGCACAACATGTCACAACATCTGACATTTCCTCAATATGACAGGAAAAACAGCTGGACACCAGCTCTGCAATGCAGACAATATATATATAATCAAGCAATACTTTCACCTATGGAAACTGGATCTGCTTTTATCAATATGCTTTACAAATCTTCATCAACTGAATTCAACTGGTCAACAATTTCACAGAGAAAAGAACAGCAGTAACTACAAATAACTGTAACAGATTAATTCAGAAAAGAATTTAAACTCATAAACTGTTATACTAAGCTGTCATTTAAAGTCTATTACATTCTACATTCAGCTGTGCAGCCAGTCACTCCGCTCAAGTTTACATATTTTATCCAAACTACTAGAAATTTCAACCGTTTCATCTCAGTGTAATAAGATATTTATAAAAGAGATGTGGTTCTATTAATTTCCCCCCATTCATGATGTTGTAATTTTACTGGCCAGCAATATAAATTTACATAGTAGCTGAAATATATTCAATAAATACATTAGAACATGTTATTCCAAAATTATTCAAATAATTTACATGCATTTTTAAATACTGAAACCATAAAAGTTCCACAATACTGTATATTCAAATTAAATTCAATTTTCTCACTAAAATCATGTTGCAAAGAAATATTACAATCATCAAATTACCTGTAGGCCTACAAGGTAAGTCAATGTTTTTCCTGTTACTGGAACACCTAAAATGTACGTCTGTGCTACTCGAGGAATGTCCATAAAATAGTTAATAAATAAGGGGAAGATCAAGCCATACCTAAAAAAAAATTAAGATTTATACTACTAAAAACTAAATTTCATGTTTATCTGAATCCCAGCTCCTCTAACAAAATTTATTCTAAAAAGAAAAAAGAATATTTTCTTTTTCTTCATCTAACACTTGACGATGATTTAGGGGAAAAAATAATTATTTTAATAAACGAGCAGTGATCTATTGTCATATCTATTTAAATGATGTAGTATATTTAATGACTTCCTAAATTAGGCTATAAAAATTTCCAGCTTTATTCAATTAAGTATCAACAATAGCAACTAAAATTTTATTGCTTTACTATTAGGTTGACAACTACATAGTTTCATTTATTTTGTTTGTAATGTGAACAGTTGAAATGTCTAAATAAATACCTAACAATTTAAACCTATTAACATTACTATAAAAAAGTATTCTGACCATTATGGTTAAATATAAATATTTCAAAACTGAAATAATGTATTCACCAGTGGCGGCTCGTAATAAGCATTATGGAAATGCAGCATCCCCTATTCCACTACACATTTAGTTGTATATTATTATCTTTAATATTTAATATAGTGAGACTTTAGACCTTTTAGTCCTTAATTCTTTCTTTTCACTTTTACAATACATAATCTTTAATCTTAACGTCAGTAGCCATCCCCATCCCCCACTCCCCCGAATTGTGAAAAAGGTATGAAAGTCTTTGTTTGGAACTGCGCGCTTCACAGTTCCAGCGATGTAGTGTTTGGTTGTTCTGCGCATGCGCACACAGAAAGCAGGTACACTAGCCAAGGGAGAGAGAAGAGCACTGTCGCTCTTGCAGTGCCAAAATTCTGGCATGTTGTTGGAAACGTGATTTCTTTTTACTCCGCACATGTAGTTTTCTTCCACAAGGTGGAACTTCATCATACGAACCGTAAACAGAGTTCATGAAAATTTGCAACCTTAAAAAAATGACCTTGCTGAAATTCAATCAACATCAAATGCAGATCAAACTATTGCAAAAGCAACAGGAATTTTAAAATATCTAAATGACGATAATTTCAAGTGATGATTACAGCTTTTTTATCAGATTATGCCTCCTGTTGAAATAATATACAACTAAATGCAATCCAGAGAAATTAGTGTGTTTAAAGTTAATGAATATATAACAAATTTTAAAATTGCTATTTTAGAATTAAGAAACTCACTGTGAGAATTTTTCAAAGACACTGATGGCAGAAGCTAAGGAAATGTGTGACTTTATACTATGTACTGATATAATGTACTAATATTCTTCCACTAAACACTTAGCAGCTGCTAAATTATTTAACAAGAAATGCTTTGCTAGTTTTAGGAATGAACATCCTGTAGAAGAAATAGTACTGACCACTGAAACATATCCAATGACTGACAAAGAAAAGCTTCAAACTGAACTAAAAGTATTCTATTGTAGGTCTGATATCCATGAATACTGCAAATTAATTGAGCTGCTGTAATTTATCTTCGAAAATAATCTAGATGATGTTCTTAGTGAAATTACGAAACTGATAAAAATTCTCTTGAGAGTTCCCATGACTACATCAGAGGCAGAATGCTGCTTTTCAACACTGAAAAAAAAAAATGAAAACCTTTCTAAGATGTACTAGGAATTCAGAAAGACTAAATGCCCTAGTATTGCTTTCAATAAAGAAAAATTTCCTCAGTTGTCATTGAGAGATCAAGGAGAAAATTATTCATCTTTTCGTGCAAATTAAAATAAGAAGAATTAATTACATTTTTATATGACAAGATAAAGTTTGAACTGTAACAATTTAGGTTAAAGTAATTACAAAAGTTTTTTTTTCTTGTAAGATTCATGAAGTTTCAAAATAAATTTTATTTTTATACATGTTAGTTTCCTTTTACACAATTTTAAAACAAAGGTTAAATTTTTTTTGGAACAGCACCCCCACTCATTTTAGCTATGAGCCGCCACTGGTATTCACTGCAGACTATAATGATTTGTTAACTAAATTTAATGAGTACTTATGCATTCAGGGTTCATACACATTTCTGCAAGTGGAAATTAAGTTCTTTTAAGGACCATCAATGAAAAAGAATTAAGGACTTATCAATAAATAGGAACTGAATAAACTAAAGCAATTATCTGCATCTGAACATCACTTTTGTAATTAAGAATGAAATAAATCTTTAAGTAGAATGCATTACTATTAAACATAATCTAATATTTAACTTAATTATAAAACAAATTCAAGAATAAAATCAATTTCATAAAATCTTTTAAGTAATTACATTAAATCATTACATTTCTTGAAACATGTACATCTTACATTTATAACGGTCCCACACATTTGAAAGAAAATTAGTGGATTTTATTTAAATTTCACTAACAGTTAGCTTTATATTGATTCTTTCTTTTATGCTTCATTTCATCATGTACTTGCTCAGTTCATATGTTTATGCAGATTTTATGGATGGCATAAGTTAAATTTAGAAGTAAAATACTAATCAGCATGATTCATAACAGCAGCTTGGCTGTTGTCACCATGGCTGTTTGCTTACAGACAAAAAGTCACTTATCAGAACAGATATGAATGCCTGACATTGGTATGGTTGCTAAGTGCTGAAAGTTAGCTGCACTTTGTCTGGCCCAGTTAGGAATGTTTTTTCCATATATTGGATCAAGCAATGTGGAATTCATACATAATATACAGAAAAATAACATACATGAAAAAAATCCCTTTTTTTATTTCCAGCTAGCTGTGATCTAGAAAATCTTTGACAAATATTCTTCTGCTATATGTTCATCAATGCAGTCTAGTGATGATAGTATGAACTTTATTCACCTTGTAGGGAGGTATTTTACAAGCCACATACCACCAAATTCTATAAAAAAAGGAACCTAGAAGGCAATGTGCTGTGTGATGCTCCAAAAAAGACAACATTTGAGAAAAAAATACATAAAGAAACTCGCATTTGGTGGAAGGAGAAGACAATGTGCTGTGTGCTGCTCCAAAAAAAAGACAACAATTAGAAAAAAATATGTAAAGAGACACATTTGGTGTGAAGACTGTAAAGTTGGATTATGTTTAGAGCCATGTTTCAAAGTTTACCACACTAAAACAAATTTGTGGAATAACAGGTGAGCAAAAGTAATACTATTAGCTGTAAAAATTAGTTAACATGTATATTTATCAAAATCAAAAAGACACTGTGGATTTTTATATTTTTATTCCATGCATGCTAAAATCTCGTGAGTCGAATTGTCTGTTTTTTAAAAAATTTAAAAACTACTAAAATTCTCGCATTATACTCATTTTATTTATAAAGATGTGAATAGTAACATATGAAAGCAGAGAAAATATTTTTTAAAAATGCCCCATATTTCAAGACCAAGAATGTATCAAAATCAAGCCGTATGCAGAGTTAATAAACCTCATGTTGTCCTTGTGTTTTTGTGTACACAAATGTTTGAGAACATCGGCCCTCCCACCGCACAAAATCAAAACATAGCAATAACAAATAATACAAATTGTAAATGTGTAAGGATCCTAAGTTTTACTAACATTTATTTTATTTTAAAACAGTACTATCACTTCTTATTTTCTACTTCTGGCCGGAATTAAATGCTTTAACTTGTTTATGCAAACTGTCTTGCTAACGCCAAGTACTTAAGTTGTGGCTTTTTGCCAAGAGAGAGTGAGGAGTTTTAGGAAGCAAGCCGCTTGCCACTGTAGTTTTACGAGTTTTCACTCTGTTGCTGGTTGCCTTTAAGGGCAGAGGTTTAGCCTTCTTGACATTTGCAGATGTATCGTAGTTTTAGCAGCTCGGCATACTACATACGTACCTTTTTTAAATAAAGGCCAGTCTTAGCACCTTCGCACCGACTGTCACGTCTATGTGCCAGCAACGAACACACTCACTTCCCGGCCAACACGCAGGCGTGCCAGAGCGTTTTCCCGTTCAGCCCCGGCTGTCATGTATTTGTGCCAGTGTCCTGAAACATTTTAAAAACTATAATTTGCCACAATGGCACTGTACGTCCATATGGTTTCAGATACATGTACATTAGACCTTCTACTCGAAATGAGAGAAGATGACTCACATCATAGTTTTTGATTATAAAACAAAAGGGGAAATAAATGTTTCCAATGGCGTGATTTATGACGTCTTTTAAATTCGCGTAGTGTAGTTTTTTTTATTGTAGTAGAGCAGTGTTTTTCGCTAAAGCATTGGATTTTCGGTTTGCAGTTCAGTTTTAGAAAATAATAGATCTTGTTAGATGGAATTCTTCTGTTTTTACCGTTGCAATGTTTTGAAGCGTCGAAAATGTTTAACAGAGCAAGAAATAGCAGAAATGCAAAAATTTCAGATATTGATTCTGAAATTCTGACATTGATCCTGAAAGATTAACTGAAAGAACATTTCCAAAACTTTGTTCAGAAGAGACTGATAAGAAAATGAGAGACGACGTTTGCTTTTGTTCACATTCCAGAAAAATCCTCCAAATCGGCAAATGAGTTATTACGGTGGCAAGGAATATAACGTAGGACGTGCGTAGATCCCTGTTTTTAAAAATTTTTCATACAAAAAGAGAATTTTAAGTAATATACTTAGTTTTCAGATGTTAATATTAATAAAAGTCATAAAATGGTGAGTAATGAAATATGAAAAATGTGTAAAATATGCATTTAAAGAAGAAATAAGGTAATATATAACAAATATCTATAAAGACAATATACTTATAGAGCATTATTAAACAATGCGTTGATACTTTGGAAATTTCATGGATTTAGGCTTCATAGCAAAAAACTCCCGGCCCTGGACAGACGCTCGCATAAGACACTGCCGGCCTCCGCGAAAAGTGCGCGTTTGCACTATCCGGCGCGAAGGGGTTAGTGCTAGGCATTTGTATACTAATTCAAAGTTAGTTTTTAGTTAGAGTTTTAGTTAGTAGTTTTTACATTCTTACGTTCAGACCACAAGTGGTTGGTCTCTGTATTCCAAAGTTCGGAAATACCTGTAAAGTATTGAAAATAAAGTATACCCTTCCTGCTTGCATTGTCTACTTCACACCTTCTTGAACATAGCTTGAGTAAGCTCCTGTTCCTATTCAGGATCATTCATGTTTCCAAAGCAAATCAAGAGAAACACAAGTCCTGACAAATGTATTATATTTCCTTCAGGAAATAACAGAAGGAAAGCCATCTGTATATAATTTTTGAAAAGCACATGAATATTTTACCTTTTTCGCAGACATAAGTAAAATAAAGGATCGTAATTTTTTAAATTATTTCTTCAAAGCACGAGCATTTACACGGCTCAGCAACAAGATGAACGAAAAAACAACCTTGATCTTGCTTTGTGCTTATTGGCTAATATACACTAGTTGGCATGCAATGGCACTCGATGCTCACTGGAGAATTTAAACACAACATTTTCAGACATGTGCTCTCACTCACAATGCAGAAGTGCACCATAATTTCATACTGATGAAACTACTTTTGATACTACTGATGTTTTCTATGTAATTTAGTGAAAAACCAGATGCTTTCTGATGCCCAAAAAATCATTGCGGAAGACCCGACCAGTCCGAATCTCAGACTTTGTACTGTAATTAAAAATATTTCTCATAAATTATATGCATATTTAATTAGAAATTTTCATAAAATAGTCAATGCATAACTATCAAAATCATATTCTTAGAAAGAGACTTTACATTAAATATACTTTTGAAAGGATTACTTTCTGATTCTTCAAACACAGAATATTTTTGTGCAACAAAATAATAAAACAAGTAAATAATTTTATTAAACTGTCTGCATTTCATGCAATCTATACGAATAATAAAACTTCTACTGACAAACCCCAAAAAGTTACCTTCTAGCTCATTAAAAAAAAATGTATTATATTATACCTAAAAAAATTCCAACCTAAATACCTCAGATAAAAACCAACTCTTCATTTTAATACAAACATATTTTGTGGGAGATAAAGGGCATATATGTAAAGTAACCTTACTATAACTAAGCTCTGATTTGCTGATGGTACTCTATAAAAAAATTATTATTTAAATATGATGATTTATAATAAAATAAAGCAAATATGTTCCCTTTTAATGTTAATTTAGGAAAAAAAATAGATTTGCTTAACATATAACATACATTTTAAATCCAGATGAATTTTTGGCACTAAAGACATCATCTTATATTAAAATAGTTTCAATGCCTCTCTTTATGCTTGTTATTCAGTTGTGAACATTTGCTATGCTTCATTCAAAATACCATCCTCAGGAAAAATTAACATGAATAGAGAACTTATAGGTTTCAAATAATACTAAATATGATGGTTATGCTTATCAATAAAGCTTATACTTACGGTCCAGTAGGCAGGAATGTGATCTCAATATCAAGTTTTCGAAGAAAAAAAACTGTCATTAACTCCAACATTGTAGCAACAGTACATGCTGCTAACAAATACGACTAAAATATACAAAGAACAAAATAAAAATACTGTAAAATGAATAATCAAATTGTGAAAATGAAAATATCAATATGAAAAAATAATTTACTACTATATTTCATTTCAGATTTTTTGAAGAAAAAAGTACTTACTGAGAATTTATGTGAACCATATCTTCTTTCAAAAATTCTAAAATAATAAATTAATAAGCAACCACAAACTAAATCTTTGGTATCCAAAAACGTTAATTTGGAAGTTAAAACTCTCCATACCTGTAATTTAAGAAAAATACAATGTATGAAAAATAAAGCAAATAATAAAAAAGTGTTTCCAACAGAAATATATATATATATTATTGCAAATTAGAAAGCAATATTTATTGCTTTTCTGTTATGACAGCTCTTTTATTTTACTTATCACATTGTAAAATATTCATATTATTATTATAGTACAAAGTCTTTAATCCGGACTTGTCAGGACTTCGGCGTTTCTGGATTAGGGGTTTTTCCAGATTATAGATCATCAATTTAAATCTGGTAAGATGGCATGCGAAATTATAAAATTAAAAATATGAAACCATAATTTATGAAATAAAGAGCAATTATGATCTAAAGGGTATCAAAATTTACAAAAAAAAAATAAAATGCTTAATATTTATTTGTTTACTTTATTAAACATATTTTTGTTTGATGGACATCGAAACATGCCTTCACTTTGTAGGTCCTTTGGCAGCTCCAGAATCGGAAACTCTTCTTGACATAATCGAAAGTTCAAGCTTACTTTTTTATAAAATTGCTCTAACAGTCTGCAAAAAATAATAAGCCGGATCCAATTAGAAGATTAAGGAACAACGCAATCTGCAACATTACCTGAAATAGATAATTAGATAATTTTAGCCTAGCTTATACCGTCCATTATACATTAAACGCGCATGCGTAAACGTATTATGCGCATGCGTAAATGCATATGCGCATGCATAAAGGTATTATGCGCATGCACAGAAAGTTTGTAGCTTTGAGGTCCCGGATTATAGACGTCTGGATTAAAGACTTTGTACTGTGGTTACAATATTTAATAAGTGGCATAATTATGAAAATGGTATCTTATAAGTGGTGCATTTCTGAAGACCTAACAAGTATTTCTAAAGAATAAGTAAGAAAGCCAAATCTAAATCTCTCGGTAATTTGAATATTATTTATGTATGTTTCATTGATGCCTTAACGGTGAAGAACAAGAATCTGAGATAAAAGAAAATCTCCTGTTAAAATAAAACATGTAATTATTTTCAAATATTATTTTTATCTTCATTTTGTAAAAAAGTGCATTTATTAAATGTATTTTTAATTTGCATTTGCACATAAAAGAGTTTCCTGCAAAGAATGAATTTCTAAACATTAATCATGTTCCTTTTTCCAAAATGGGTGAAACTGCTCTGACTGCCTTACACAGTAGATTTTTGATAACAAAGATAAAATTTCACAGTGAAATTTTCTCTTTTCAACAGAACTGGACTTCAAAATCAAGTAAAAAGGCAAAGTACATTTTGAAGGCAATTTGACTTAAGTTACTCTTTTTCAAGAAAACTACATTCTATCCCTTCTCCCCCCTTATTTTTTTTACTTTGTTGTTAAATAAAAATACACCCTAAGACTAGAATGAAGTAAAAAGAGAAATGCTAAAAAATATTCAATAGTCTTACCATTCTGTTATGCTATATAAATATGAATGCCTTAAACAGCACATTTATTCCTTTAAAATACAAACTTTTTTAATAAACGAATCTTCATACAAATGAAGTGCAGTTAAAAACAGTCCCCGCCCCCCAAAAAAATCTGCCCATACATGCAACTTTTGAACTGTATGTCTTTTGTTTCAAATATCAGCATGTTACTACTAAGCAATGTTACTACTTAACAATAAAATGAACTAAATGCATAAATAATTTGCAACCACTAAAAAAAAAAAAAAAAAAAAAAAAAAAAAAAAAAAAATGCTTTCAAAGCTTTTCCAAATTCACTGCTTTTACGAACTTATATAAATATGCAATTTCGCAAATTCAATGATTGTTCATGTATTGCAAACATTCCTTTGCAATACATAAACAAAGATAAAAATGAAAAATCAAAATAACTTCGAAGTTTAAAAAGTTTCTTGGATATGGAAAAATCTTTATATAAAAGAAGTACTAATGCAAAAACTTACTTCATATTTTTCAAATATATTAGGTACATTATAAACCACATATTGCTTAATGTGAGCTAGAAGAGGCACATTTAGGGCACAAGATGTTAAGAACATGCAACCAAGGATCCCTTTAGAAACAGGAGCTTTATCTAAAGAGAAATATTACATTAAACAAACAGAAAAACAAAAAGCACAGACATAAAATGAGAAATGCTTCGTAACACAGAATTCTAAATCACATAATACTGTTATGAATTTTGTACATAATGTAAATAATTTTAGTGAAATCACATGTGAATATATATATATAGTAAGATGAAAATTTAGAGAAGTGAAACTTTTCTAGAAAAGTAAGTTGTTAGGCAAGTAAGTTGAGTAAATGGCTATCTCGCTGAATTGGCAAGACATCACCAAGCTGGCAATGGTTTTGGCGACCACTTGACATTTTGTTCTGGTCCCTGAATAACTGTAATTGATAATATAATTGAATAAATAAAACTGATCACTAAATGCAACTTTAACTGTGTGTTTTTACCGATATTTATACATCTTTTCCAAGAAAAAGAAATTTAAATAAAGCTATGAAATACTGAAAACAGACAAGGGAGAACTGAATATAATTTTTATTGCTGGACACAAACTTATTATCGAAAATATATTTTTCATCAGCATGATTATGGGTGCCTTACACACAACACAATTTTATACAAAATATCACATTTTAGATAACAGCATGACAAAACAAAGGAAGCGGCGTAGCATCTTGACTGCAAGAGAGCTGAAGCTAAAACATGCTCACCTAGAGAAGGTTTGACGGTTTTGGGGTAAAAGTATATTTATGGGTGACCCTGGGTGAAAAATGGCAATTTTTGGTGGTACACGGACACTGAGTTTGTGCAAGTCTTTGACTTGGTATTTTGGCTTTGTGTAGCGGCGATTTTGGGCCAACTATTTTCACTTTAAAAAAAAAAAAAAAAAAATTGAAGAATTGTACAAACTTGCCATTTTGCCCTCCCTTGGCTTAGTCCATGCACACATCACTCTTTTTTCACTTAAAAAGTCAAAGGAGAAGCCAACAAAAAATATATAATCTCAATAAACTACATTTTAAATCAAACAATGAAATAACATACAAAAGGAAAATTCATCTTAGCACTACACAAAGGAAATATCTACTTACCTTATTTATAGTCTTCAGTCAAATAAAATTCCTTAACAGCATCAAAAACTTCCTAAAATTATCTGGACTAGAATCTGTACATTGGCATTGCCACATAAATTCACAAAAATAAGACTAAAAAATATCCTCCAATGTTGGACCATACGCATTTCCTTCGTACAAACAGGATGCTAATAATGGCTACTAAGAAAACCTTCATTTACACATCAGTCAATTAATGCTTTTTCCCTTTCGTTCCAAATCATTCAGAAACTTCAAATTAATCTTACCACATTCAGCCATTTCACCAAGTAAACCACAAAATAGCAACGTACTTCCTAATCAATATTCAACACACAAACAAGCCTTTATAAATCTTTTCCCATCATTAAAATTCACTGCAATCATCAACCAATTATGTCATATGGTTCCCATAACATTCAACTACTCAGGTTACCATGACTGAAACAACTTGGTGATAATCCAAGGGGATTAAATATACCTTAACCTGTGTATATAACCTGTATAACCTATATGATATTAAATATACCTTAACCTGTTTTGGTTTAGGTTAAGGTTTCAGTTCTAGAAAGTTTGAGTTCAGGTTCCAAATTAGTTATGTCATCAGCATTACACCATTACAAGAGGGACTGATCTAGAAATGAAGCAGTTCATGAAAGCTATGATTTTCTGATGAGAGGGGAAATACTGCTATCTGATTCACGTATTTTTTACCTTACATATACAGTCAAAAGTCGTTAATTCGGACACCCATAATCCGGACCTCAAAGCTACAAACTTTCTGCGCATGTGTCGCGTTCACGCATGCGCACAGGCGTTTACGAGAGTGCGTAAGACCCTTACGGCTGCGAATCTGCGCAAGCGTAGAACACGTTGTTCGCATGCGCGTTTAATGTGTAACAGAGTTATATACGCTAAGCTAAAGTTATCTAATTCAGTTAATGTTGCAGATTGCGTTGTTCCTTAATCTTCGAAATGGATCCGGCTATTATTTTTTGCAGACTGTTAGAGCAATTTTATAAAAGTAAGCTTGAACTTTCGATTAGGTCAAATAGAATTTCCGATATATATTTACTACAAAGCGAAAGTATGTTTTGAAATCCGAAATCTGTTTATCAATTTCACGCTGCTCTGCGGCAGAGGGGGGGGGGGCAGAAACGTCATTATTAGATTATGATAGATTAGAACGATTATGTCAAATAGAATTTCCGATATATATTACTAATATGTAATTTGTATCTACAAAGCGAAAGTATGTTTTTGAAATCCGAAATCTGTTTATCAATTTCACGCATGCCGATTGGAAGTTGATCTGTCAGCACTATTTTATCTCAGGGCAGATGTTTTTATTTTATTAAACTGATGATTATAATTATTATTATTAAACTGATGATCTATAATCCGGAAAAATCGATAATCCGGAATCGCCGAAGTCCCGACGAGTCCGGATTAACGAATTTTGACTGTATATATATATATATATATTGTTTCAAAAGAATAAATTGAATTTAATTGTAGATTAGTTCGAAAATTAAATCTTTTATATGTTTGCACATTTTTAAATTATTTTAACTTTAAATTTGCTTTTTACGTATATACATGTTTGTTAAACATATATATATATATATATAATTAAAGAAAGGAGAACAATTTTTATCCTAAGAGTTTTGATGAGCTTTTCAAAGTAGAATAAATGCAAGCTATTGCACTTATGAACAGAATGACATGTGTAATATATACATCTGGAAATTTGGATTAAAATTTTTAATAAAAAGTACATATATTTTTACAGCATAAATAATTATGGAATAGTTGTGTACCAATTTTAATACTGTATTACTTTGTGGAATGTATCAACTTTATTAGTAATCTGGAATGACTGACAATTTCTTCATTATTGTTAGGAATAAGATCCATACTACTGTTACAAGTATATTATTCTCTATCGATTTCTTATACCAATGTATGTAAAATTATAATTAAAGAATCAAAGTAAGTCCAAACTTTTGCTCCTGTCGAATTAAGATCAATATCTTAATTATAGAACTAATAAAATTATAATTTTTTATATATTATTACTGTAAGGAATAAGATCAACTATTATACTCTAAATTTTAATACTGTTAGATAATATTACATTTAAAATAATGAATCTCTCTTAAAGCTAATTTCTGCAAATTTTAGATAACTTTCGGAAATCCTAAAAATTTCAACATTTCCCATGAATTTCAGATATTTTCCCTTATTTTCAAATTAACATTGGAATTACTAGATTATTTTTCATACTTAAATAAAGGCAATATTGTTCTCTTCATAATTTATGAGAAAAATTTGATATAAAGAATCATTCTCTTTAATATATACCCACAATATTACAAACATAACTCACATAACTAGCTTTTTTACACAACAGGATTCATTTGTTTCCTTTTCTTCCTTTATCTCAAGTATGTATATTTAGACAATTATTACAATATGGCAAATTTAATTGAATGACAGCTCCTTACAGCAGAAATAAATTGTACAGCTTCGTATGTTATGCAATTTCTCTACATTTTTTTATATTATACTGTAAGGTTTATCTTAATTATCTAACAGTTAATTTTTAGTTAAAAGTTACTTTCCTGTCCTCTCTAAATTTCAGCTTAAGACTACCGGCTAGAACGTATTTTCAGAATCAAGGTAAGATGCAAATGAGGAGAAGAAGTATTTAACTGCGAAGTTCTACTGACTTCGTTAGAGAGCCAGAGATTCTATGCAGTGCATGTTGGCCTTTTGGCTATACTCTCTCTAAAGCTATTTTTACGCTCGGCCATACATTAGGCCCTCGATAGCTTCGCTGTTAGTTAGCATTAAGGGGCCAACTCTGTTAGAATCTTGATAGCTTCAGCTATATCTTTTTAGTTATGATCAGTTATGTTATATTTCTTAATTTCTTCAGTTCAAGCCCGAGTGCAAGCTTTAATGTAAACTCCAAGAAGAAATCTTCTGGAACTTTATTTGTAAAGGGTATTTAACCCTTCTTGAGTATCCGTTCTCTGTATACCGAACTAAAGCGATTATTCGCTTATCAGTTCTTAAGGTTCCTCAACTTTAACTTAAAAGACAGAAATCTTACAATATTTCTAACAAATATATACATACAGGATGTACCATAAATGCTGCGACAAACTTCTAGGGGAGGTAGGGCACATCATACGGATTAAGAATTGCATAGGAACCCATGCCCCGAAATGTCAGGGGTAAGTGGCAGAAGATGGGAAAAGAAGCAAAGGTGATTAATTTGAAACATTTATTGGACATGAATACAAATAGTGTATGACAGCTTGAATGTTTCAACAGATGCTCGAAGTTTGCACCATCAGATGCCAACCGTGCCCGATACCAATGACTGTTTGAATGCCGCGAATTATTTGATCTTTCTGGAGCAGGTTCTTTCTGACTTGCTTGACGATGTTCCACCAAATGTGCAACATGTGATTCCAAAATGATGGGGCATCTTCTCAGTTTGGACTGGATGTTCGTAGCCATTTGAACAGATCATTCCTACATCAATGGTTTGGACATGCTCACTGGATTTATCAAGCCTTGATTTCTTTTTGTGGGGAGCCATATAAATTATCGTATATCACGATTCTGTTGGGCATGGGATCTCGCGGCAAGACTCGCCTGTGCAACTGCTACAATCAAAGAAACTCCCGGTGTGTTTGAACATGTTCGGCAATCAATGGTCCATCAGTGTCAGGCATGTTTGGCGTCTGATGGTGCAAACTTCAAGCATCTATTGTAACATTCAAGTTGTTAAAACACCATTTGTATTCATGTCCAATAAATGTTTAAAATTAATTACTCTCTTGTTTCCTTGCACATCTTCTACCTCTGCTACCAATTACCCCTGACATTTCTAGGTATAGGTTCCTATGCAATTCTTAATTGCTATGACGTGCCCTAGAAGTTTGTCATAACATT